TCTACATTTGCTCTGGATGAGGAGAGACCCATCGTTGCATCTAGAAGGCAGCTTGCTAGCTTTTAAGATCCCAGTCACTACTCACCAAAGTAGGCGGTGGAACAATGTTTTGTATAGTATGTTATGCAGAACCAGGCATACTTCTTGACTGCATTTTTGTCAAATAGAATATTTAAGTACTCAGACTCTGGGTGTAGTAGGTACTCAGAAGAGGGAAAACTTGAAAGAGGTGGTGGCCTTGCCAAATGAGAGCCAGAGATGAGAGGCCCAGCCACTGGAGTGGTCAGAAAAGCCATCCTAGAAGTAGAAAACTAGAGTTAAACAAGGATTTGAAAAGGATAGATCAGACAGAGACAAGTAGTGAACACAGGATATCAGGAGTTGTTAATGAGAAGCCTGGCCTGTCAAGGATTAAGGCAAGGGAATAGTAGCTTTACCTTATGGAATATCTGGAATGCCAGACTAAAGCTGTCAGCTTTAGGAAGTAGTTAGACTGCCCCTTTGTGAAGATCTGTGGGACATTAGGCCCTTGTTCTTTTAGACAATTCTCTGAGTCTGTCTGGGGAGCTTGGACTCCCTTTATTTGAGTAAAAAGCCTTGGAACTGCCATGTCTACCAAAGTGCTGATTGGTTTTCTCATCTGGCAAAAAGGGAGAAGGACTCAGAGCTGAACCAGAAGCGACCTCAGTACATCAAAGCCAAGGAGAATACCTCTCACAAAATCAAAAAGCTGGAAGCAGCCAAAAAGTCCTTGCAGAATGCCCAGAAGCACTACAAGAAACGTAAAGGTGACATGGATGAGCTAGAGAAGGAGATGCTGTCCGTAGAGAAAGCCCGACAGGAGTTTGAGGAACGAATGGAAGAGGAGAGCCAGAGTCAGGGTAGAGACTTGACCCTGGAGGAGAACCAGGTAAGCCCTGAGAAGGGTTGAGGAGAGGAGATTGCTGGGGTAACATGGCTGGCTTGATCATCCCTCTCCTTCCCTGTCCCTAACACAGGTGAAGAAGTACCACCGGTTGAAAGAAGAAGCCAGCAAGAGAGCAGCTACCCTGGCCCAGGAGTTGGAGAAGTTCAATCGAGACCAAAAAGCTGACCAGGACCGGCTAGATCTGGAAGAGCGGAAGAAAGTTGAGACAGAGGTGAGTGTGCGTTATAAGATTAAGAATCATGTTCCAGGGAAAAGGATTTCTCAATGATAGAAATAACAATAATGATAATAATTAACATGTATTGATCACTTACTATGTGCCAGGCATTGTTCTTTATCCCTGTTTTCCAAATGAGAAAACTATGACACAGAGGTGAAATAATTTGCCCAAGGTCATGCAGTTATTGAGTGGCAGAATCAGGGAATGAACCTGAGCAATCTAGCTCTAGAGTCCATGCAATTATCAATTATATTTTATTTACTGCCTCCCTAATATCAATAATAGTAATAGTAATAATAATTATAATAGACCATTGTTATAGTGCCTCAAGAGCTTACCATGTTCCAGACATTCTGCTAAGCACATTTAAATAATTAAAAAGAATGTGAGGTAGCCATTCATATTAATAGCTAGCCTATAAAACCAAAATGAAACTCACTGCTGTTGAGTCAATTGTGACTCATAGCGACCCCTCCTTGGGTTTCAGAGGTGGTATCACTACGGAAATAGATTGCCCAACCTTCCTTCCGAAGAGTGGCTGGTGTGTTTGAACTGCCAGCCTTCTGGTTACCAGTCAAATGCCTTAAGCATTATGCCACCACCAGAGCTCCCAGCTAGTGTATGGTAAGCACATAATGTGTATTCTTTGAAGTAGAGATTATCCACATTTTCCAGATGAGAAAACAGGTGCAGAAAAGCCTATAAAGCTTTACTTTGCCTTGCTTTGAACCTCTATGATTGGCAAAGAAGATAGATAGCCTGGGCTGGGTAGAATACTTGTGAGAGGTTCGGAAGCTGAGAGAGTCCCCCGTCATTTAGCAGATCCATACTAAACACTGTGTGTCTGCTTTTTAGTAGGCCTCCTGCATTAGTGAAAGATTGTCCTGACTATTGGGCCATTGGATGAGTATGTAGTGAGTTATGATCTTAGGGTTAACTTGCTCAGTCCCTGGTGATGGAGTATATTTCTCTCTTTCAGGCCAAGATTAAGCAAAAGCTGCGGGAGATTGAAGAGAATCAGAAGCGGATTGAGAAACTGGAGGAATACATTACCACTAGCAAGTATGTGGCTCTGCCACCCTCTCCCTTAACCAAGCTTGTTCTTTTGACTCTACCTGTCCTGCCTTTTCCCAGACAGGACCCCAGAGTTCCTCTCAGTCAGGAATATTTTCTGTCCAGCCAGGGTAACCGCTGTGTTTCCTCCCTTTGTAGGCAGTCCCTAGAGGAGCAGAAGAAGCTCGAAGGGGAGCTGACAGAGGAGGTGGAAATGGCCAAGCGGCGTATTGATGAAATCAATAAGGAACTAAACCAGGTGATGGAGCAGCTGGGGGATGCCCGCATTGACCGCCAGGAGAGCAGCCGCCAACAGCGAAAGGCAGAGATCATGGAAAGCATCAAGCGCCTTTACCCTGGCTCTGTGGTAAGAGTGGAAAGGGAACTCATTTTATGAGAACCTACTCTTACACTGACTGTCATAATTTTTCCAGCAGCACTGTAACAGCAGGGTTGCTAACCTCTTCTTTACAGCTGAGGAAATTGAGGCTGAGATTAAATGACTTACCCAAAGCAGCACAGTTTATAAATGGAAGAGATGCATTTCAAACCCAACTTACTGGATTCTGAAACTCATGTTCTTTTCATCACCCCAGTTGTATTTTCCTGAGGGTTTTGTTTGGCTATATCTACTTCTCCATGGAAGTTGGGGAAGCCGAAAAGACTTTGATTGGGGGTGGGGCCCCAGGGCCAAGATTAGTCTCCCAGGAAGTAGGTTTGGGACATTCATATTCAGTCTTCTTTATGAGCCATTAGTATGTACTAGCCAGCCCCTTTGCTTTTTTTTTTTTTTTTAAAGTGGCTTAGACAATAAGCATATATTATTTTACATGATTTCTGAAGGTCAAATCTGGGACTGACTTAGCTGTTTGGTTCTGGCTCAGGGTTTCTCATGAGGTTGCACTCATCTCATAGTTTGGGGCTAGAGGACTCACATCCAGGATCACTCACATGGCTATTGGCAGGGGGCCTCAGTTCTTTACTACATGTGCCTCTTCATAGGACTGATTATCTTCATGACTTGGTGGTTTTCTTCTCTAGGTGCAAGTGATCTCAGAGAGAGAGGCAGAAGGTGCTATGTTTTTATGACATAGCCTTGAAAGTTACATGCCATCATTTCTGTATTTTGTTGGTCACGTAGCCCAACCCTGTTACAATCTTGGAGGGAGGCTACACAAGGGTGTAAATGCCAGGAGGCAGGGATCGTTGGGGACCATCTTAAAGATTGGCTACCACAAATAATGAGTTCCTCATAGGACTGCTATAATGATTATATGAAACTGTATAGAGAGAGCCTGGAGTGTTTTAAATATTTAGTAAATAGGAGCTATTATAATAAATTTGTTCCTCTCCATGAAAGCTATAGGACCCAAGAGGGGGGTTTTATTGATTGTTATGATTTTGGCTTTGAGGGAGAATGTAGAGTAAAACACAGGGTTCCAGATCCATTAGCTTTTAGGGACATCCTAGACTTAATCGGATCTCGTGGACTCTTGAACCAAATCTTGAGTTCCTAGGGTCCCTGAATATTATCCCTCTACTGGTATAATCCCATCCCTGGGTTCAGCTCAGCTTGATTCCATCAATATTTCCTGATCTCTCTTCTAGGCCAACCACTGTACTATATAGGTAGATTAAGATGAATTAGTTTTAGTCCCTGCCCTTGAAGATCTTGGCCTTTATCTGATAATCCTTAGAGAGCAAGGGTGGTTTTGTGGGGATGACGGAAGTGGAATGGTAAAAGATTTATTTTGCTAAGTTCTTGTGAGAATTTGAGATAATGTATATAAGATATCTGGTATAGTGCCTGGGGTGTCAGTGGTCTGTGAAATAGTAAAAGTGAGGTTTATGAAGATGATTTTGGATTCAGACATGACTGTCTGCAGTCTTTACTTGGGGCCAGAGCAAGCTTTTCATCCATTGCATGTATAATTTTCCTTGTATGGATTCTAGCCTGTGCCCCTTTCTGAGTTGTGAGTTGGGATTCCTGAGCCAGCTCTTAAAAGGCTCATGCCTCAGTTTTCCCTTCCTATTTTATTCAGTATGGCCGCCTCATTGACCTCTGCCAGCCCACACAAAAGAAGTATCAGATTGCTGTAACCAAGGTTTTGGGCAAGAACATGGATGCCATTATTGTGGACTCAGAGAAGACAGGCCGGGACTGTATTCAGTATATCAAGGAACAGCGTGGAGAGCCTGAGACCTTCTTGCCTCTTGACTACCTGGAGGTGAGGCTTGTGGGATGGGGTCAGAGGCAGTGTGAGAGGGCCCTTCCTCTAAGCCTGTCACGTTCTGCCAGTTACTGAGCTTCTTATCACAGGTGAAACCTACAGATGAGAAACTCCGGGAGCTCAAAGGGGCCAAGCTAGTGATTGATGTGATTCGCTATGAGCCACCTCACATCAAAAAGGCCCTGCAGTATGCTTGTGGTAATGCCCTTGTCTGTGACAATGTGGAAGATGCCCGCCGCATTGCCTTTGGAGGCCACCAGCGCCACAAGGTATGGATTCCCTTGCCTAGATTGGAACTGGACAGGCTCAGATTCCTCTACTTTGCTTCACCCCCTCTTTTCCTCTTCCTGTTGTGTGCAGACAGTGGCATTGGATGGGACCCTATTCCAGAAGTCTGGAGTGATCTCTGGTGGGGCCAGTGACCTGAAGGCCAAGGCACGACGCTGGGATGAGAAAGCAGTAGACAAATTGAAAGAGAAGAAGGAGCGATTGACAGAGGAGCTGAAAGTGAGCCACAAGCAGTGGTGTCCCTGGGAGTGGAAGGTCCTAAGCCCAGGTTGACCACTTTCTTACCACCTGGCCCTTATTTCTTGTTCCCTTCAGGAGCAGATGAAAGCAAAGAGGAAAGAGGCAGAGCTGCGTCAGGTACAGTCTCAGGCCCATGGACTGCAGATGCGGCTTAAGTACTCACAGAGTGACCTAGAACAGACCAAGACACGACATCTAGCCCTGAATCTGCAGGTGCGGTCTAGCATCCATCCCGGTCCTCCACGGGCCATTCTCACATTTCTGGCCTAGGTCTCTCCAGGGGTGGAGAGCTTGTCCCACTTCCTTCTCTCCTCCTCGCCTGCTTCAGGGAACCATGTGCATGACAGTAGGCAAGTTATTTAACCTTGTGGTGTCAGTTTTCAAGTTAGAAAACTTAACTTTATTGGATTGTTGCAAAGATTGAATGAGTTAATATGCGTAAAGTTCTTAGACTGGTTCCTGGCACACAGTAAATGTTCAATAAATACTAGGTGCTATTATTAGCATTATTCATTCATTCAGCAGATATTTGAGCTTCTTCTGAAAGTGACCTATAGACATTTGAACCCCTGTAAAGATACTGTTCGGGAGCTCTGGTAGCATAGTGGCTAAAGCACTTGACTGCTAACTAGAAGGCTGGCGGTTCAAACCCACCAGCCACTCCTCGGAAGGAAGGTTGGGCAATCCTACTTCCGTAGTGATACTGCCTCGGAAACCCAAGGAGGTGTCACTATGAGTCGGGGCCGACTCGACGGCACATAACAACAACAACAACAAAAGATACTGTTCTAGGTATTGGGGATATTACAGTGAACAAAACAGACACAAATTCTAGCCCTCATCGACTTTATATTCAAGTGGAGGGAAATTAAAATAAGTAAATGATATGTAAGAAGATAGTAAGTGTTTTAAAGAAAAATAAAGTAGGAAGGGGGTACAAAACTCATTGCCATCAAGTCGATTCTAACTCATAGTGACCTCCATTGAGTTTCTAAGGCTCTAAATCTTTATGGAAGCAGACTGCCTCATCTTTCTTCCACAGAGTTAGTTTGAACAGCCAACCTTTCAGTTAGCACCCAGGCACTTTAATCACTGTACCACCAATGCTCCTTACTTATCTAATATGGTCCATAATCCCTTATCCAAAATTCAAAGTTCAGAAAGCTCTGAAAACAAAAGTGTGGTGTTTTTTATTTATTTATTTATTCTTATTGTGATTTGGGTGAAAGTTTACAGAGCAACTTCATTTTCCATACAGCAGTTCATACACATTTTGTTTCATGACATTGACTGCAATCCCCACAGTGTAACAGCTCTTTTCCCACTTCTCCCTGTAGTTATCCCTTCGTTATGTCCTTCTTTCCTATGCAGTCCTGTCCCCCAAGCTATCTCCCTGTGCAAACACTGCCCTTCTTGTCTATCACGATTGATTTCTCTAAGGGGTGTATCTGCCTGATATAAGTGTTCACTCTATATGCCTGTCTGTTGTTTAGCTGTAAGCCATGGGAGTGAGTTCAGTTCCAAACCTGAAGGGTAACTAGGGGCCATAGTCTTGGGGGCTCTCACCAGGCTTTATGAGACCAGTAAACTTGGTCCTTTTTTTTTTTTTTTTTATGATTTTGAGTTTTGTTCCACATTGTTCTCCCACTCTATCCAGGATCTCCGGCATGGATCCCTTTCTGAGTAGTTTATAGTGGTAGCAAGGCACCATCTAGTTTTTCTGGCCTCGTGTTCATATAGGCTGGGGATCGCATGGTCTACTAGTCCCTTGAATTAATTAGTTCCATGCATCTGTGGTTTTCATCATTATTCTTTGCTCTGGATGAGGAGAGGCCTGTTATTGCATCTGGATGACCGCTTACAAGCTTTTAAGATCCTAGTTGCTACTCACCAAAGTAGAATGTAGAACAATGTTTTGTTTTTGTATAGTTGTTGTTGTTGTTGTTATGTGCCATCGAGTCGGCCCCGACTCATAGCGACCCCTCCTTGGGTTTCCGAGGCAGTATCACTACGGAAGTAG